TATTATGGTGTTGTCCCTAGGAGGATCAAGTTGGTCACTGGACCAACTTTGAAAATTGTGGTGGCACAGATGTTAAGCTCGGTGGAATCACCCTTCGAGGTCAGTAAGGTTGTTTTGAGGGCTCCAGGAGATGCTGTCTTGGAGTGGTTTAAGAAACCAATTGTTCAGCAATTTCTTTTGAATGAGATTCCATCAAGGGCTGACATTTTAATGCATAAACTCAACATACTTTTTCCAACATCTGCACCTGAAATTAGGTCGTTGTCCCCTCCTAAGCCTCTTGTCGCTGGAAAAGCAATATAGTTATTTCCTACGTGTAAAATGGCTTATATAGTTCATACTAGAGATTTGGTTTCACTTGTTCTGGTGCTCAAAGACGTGCAGAAGATACTATTTCTATGTATCAAGATGCTAATGTGTTTGGGTGGATTGAAATTAGATCTGAATCGGTTATAAAGGATATATAGTTTCTTGCATACAAAATACATGCCTGGATATGTGTACAGATGCGTGTACCTTTTATTCTTAACCTGAAACTTAATGGTAGTGTTTATTCCTAACTTCCTCCACCTGATTTAACTGGTAAATCTGTTTACTCATCAACCGATGCTGAATGCCTTTTGCCAAAAGTTCAGTACTCTCATCAAACAGTAGAATCAAAGCTAATACAGGTGAGTTCCTTCCTAGTCTGATTTCAGAGTGTAAATGAAAAGAATGTCAAAGCTGATGTGTGCATAAGCTGGCCTGGAGACCACCATTACTGGAAAAAAGAATGTCAAGATAAGCTGAGGTGTGCGCAAGACAACCATTTCAGAAAATACATGATGTTTCATATGAAGGGGAGCCTTGGCGTAACCGGTAAAGTTGCTGCCATGTGGAGGTCACGAGGTCAAGCCGTGGAAACAGCCTCTTGCAAAAATGCAGGGTAAGGCTGTGTACAATAGACCTTGTGGTTCGGCCCTTCGCCAGACCCCGCGCATAGCGGGAGCTATGGCTGTCCAACGGGACGGGCCGTCCCGTATCCCGACTCGGCCCGGCCCACTTAATTCTAAACGGGATGGGCCCATGATGTTTCATATAATTTGCTCTAGGCATTTTTCTCGCTGCTGAATCTTTTTTTATCAAGTACAGCTGATTCCAAATTTGAATCTACTGAGTCCGATGACGATGAATTTCAGATCTGTGATATTTGTAATTCAGAGGAGGTACTAGTCCCTGAATCTTGGATCTCCTATTTCCCTTGGTGTGTTATTTGGTTCTTTTGGATTGATCTTCTTACGTAGGAGAGGAAAAAATTGCTCCAGTGTTCCTGTTGTAGCTAACTTGTACATCCTGACATGTTTAATTCCACCTGTTACAGAGTCAGTTTCTGCAGATTGGTGTTGCCATTCTTGCAAGGAAAAGACAGATGAATATAACCAAGCAAGACATGCCTATGTTGAACTTTTGAAAAGGTGGGAACTTGTGAAAATGTGCTGCTCTGATTATATTCACTTTTTGGCTTCATCATAGATCATCACACTCGGTGTTTGACGAAGGTCTAACACTAACCATGCCCAACTATCTAACGGTCGTTGCAGATTATAATTCGGTTTAAGAGTTCGGAGTCGAATCCCACAAGGAATTAACTCTCAATCACAACTTAATATATCACAAGAATTTAAGCAAATCAATTCTCCAAAATATTCAAATAATGATTTTTGTTTGGTTAAACTAACTAATTGCAAATAATGGAAATGCAGTAAGTTATCAACTAATTAAGCAAAGAGTTGAAGACAAGATTAAGGAGGTCTAGAGTTATGATTTCCTCGGTTGCCGAAATCCTTCTTGCCATGTTACCTATTATTTTGTCAATTTGTTCTTTGTTGATCGTGAGCACTATACTTACTGTGATTTCTCCCAAGCAATCACAATAACTTATTTTCACGTACGTAGGGAGTGATGTTTTAACAACTATCTAAATATGCTCTGGAACCATATTCCATGTAAGGTAGACACTCTAATTGCTCGGGCATGGTGCCAGGCACTTTACTCGGACAAGATTTTTGCCCTTCACTCCCTATTTTCCCAAGTTTCGGACTCCTTTGTTTGTACTCCATCTGTTCCACTTTATGTAACGTACTTACTATTTGAAGGGTCAAATACGGTTTTAACCATTTTTTGCAAATACTTTTGAATATTTTAAATTGCTAACTATAGCGACTTATAGTATTTTTTTTACATATGTTAAGCCAAGTTTTCCTCACACCATCTCTATATAACAGCTATTCACTAGGGGTGTACAAAGGAAACCGACAAACCGCACCAAACCGATAATCCGAGTCAAATCGAGAAAAAAAATCCGACTATGATTTGGTGTTAGAAAAAAAAAATCCGACTATAATTGGTTTGGTTTTATCTAAAAAAAGTCGAACCGAAACCAAACCAACCCAACATTACATGTATACAAATTTAAAAATATTTTATACATAAAAATAATTATTATAATGTAATTTATAAATATAATTTAAACTCTTTAATAGTTCTCTCTTTTAATGTATTATTTCAAGCTTGGACTTAGAACTTTTGAATGGTTAAATATGTTTATAGCCCATAAAAATTAGTAAATCAAATAAAGCTCAAAGCAACAAAATCAAATTAATACTAATGCTAACAAAAAAATTCAATTCAATACTAAAAGTGGCAATAGTATTGGATATTTATTTTTTTTAGTTTTGTATTGATTTAGATAGTGAAAATGCATAACTCACTTTTAATATTATTTAGTCATGTAATTAATACTTAGTATTTATTAGTCGTACTTATTTTAACATGACTTAGTACTTTTAGATTATGTTTATTTTTATTATGGCTTATTAATTAGCAGTATTTATCTTATACAATTTGTTGAGTATTTTAGTATAATTATGACTCATCTCCTATTATTTTATATTATTTTATTGGGTAACATGTTATATCGTTTTATCCTACTAGGACCTAAGAAATATTAGAGTACAAATTATAAATTTTATGCTATGAAGATTTTGTTGGAAAAAATCCCGAAAAACCCGAGAAAACCGAAAAATCCGAGAAACATCGTGATTGAAAAAGCCGACTTTTGTTGGTTTGGTTTGGTTTGGTTTATAAATTTAAAAATCCGAGACAATTGGCTTGGTTTGGTAATTGAAAAATCCAAACCAACCCGGCCTGTACACCCCTACTATTCACTATAAAAGTCAAAGTTTTCCTTAAAACTGATTTTCAAGTTATATTTACTTCTCTATAATAACTTTTACCTATAATAGCAACATCCATATTTATAGCAGAACGTTCTTTGTAAAGTTACCCTTCTATATCAGCCATATAGAATCTTTAAGATTACTACTAATAAGTCTAAAAATATGCACACAATCTTTTCCATTAAACAAAGTTTCTATCTTGCATAATATATAAAATTTGAAGATTTGCACATGATATCTTTTGCATTAGACAAATTTCAAAAAATATTTAGATAGAAAATTTTACTGTTAAGCTCTTAGATTGTCTTCAAGGGAAAGCTATTTGATACATTTTTGCTGAAAATTTGGACACGAACCTTCGCCAGTGTGAGCATTGTATTAGTAAGAGAATGAAATCTACAAAATAAACTACAATTACAAAGTACTTCCATCAATCTTGAAAGAATTTATTTTTCTAGGTAGCTTTAAAATGTCTGACTTAGAGTTCAAATATATATAGGTTTAGTTATAAATTTATTAATAATGTATTAGCTTTCTTCAATATTTAATTACTAAAATATGCAAATCTTTGAGTTTTTGAATTTGAATAGTTTTCTTATCCTTTATATGTAACATTGAAAAAAGAAAAATAATTAATTTTTGGATAATTTTTATCTATAACAATCAAAAAATATTTAAACGTTAAACGCTGTTATAAGTGTATAACAATCATTCACTATAAAAGCCAAAAAATATCGGAACAAACAAGGCTGTTATAGAGAGGGTTGACTGTATATTCCTTATTAGGGATGTACAAACCGAATCGGAAAACCGCATCAAACCGAAAAGTCAAACCAAACCGATTAAAAAACTCGACTAGGTTTGGTTTGATTTGGTTTGGTTTTGAGTAAAAAAAACCCGAACCAAACCGACATATAAATATATAATTTTTATATATAATTTTAAAATTTTATATAGAATTTTCTTAAAAAATATCTAGAAATATTTGGGATTCTCTTGCGGGATATAATATTTAATAGTATATGAAGTGCCCATATTTATTAACCTTAAATAATAGGTTGTATGATCACTTTCTCATTAAGTATTACTTAAATGCGTCAATCTCTTTGTTCTTTCATATTCATAATATGTTAAGATTTATTAAATTGTTATATCTTTTTGGATGTGAAGTGATCATTATTATTTAGGTATCATATTGATTTTAATGTTTAATTACTAAATTCGGTTAACCTTAGTGTGCATCAACGAAACATTATATTATTGTCAGTTGACTAAAAAAAATAATTGTTATGTTGTTACTAAGAAAATTCTCTCAAAAAAATATTTTAATAGATAATATATTTGTCAATTTTTTATATTTTTACTAAACATATATTTACTTATAAAAAATTTAACAAAGTAAGATTGAAATAATATTTAAGTAACAAAAAACTCGAAAAACCAGAAAAATCCGACAAAACCGAACCAATCCAAACCGATATAGTTGGTTTGGTTTTAATAAAACTCGAATCAACCCGGTCCATGTACACCCCTATTCCTTATCAAAAGTATAATTATATCAACTTATAGATATACTAGTCTCGACGTTCGTGCGATGCACGAATATTTTATATCAATTATTATCAAACACGTTTTAAAAGTAATGTATAAAATTCAATAATTAATTTCTTTAAATTTTAATATATAACTCAAACCAACTCATTAATAATATTTTGATACAATAAGGAAGTGATTTTGGTATGTGTGAACTCAAAATTAAGCAAGCAAATATTTCACAAATGATAACAAAGTAACCCGAAAAGGATATCAATTTATCAACAACACCATAATCATTTAGTATTATACAAAAATTAAGAAGAATGAAAAATAATCTGTGGAAATTAAGTCTCAACAAGGGATTTGATTAATGAACCACTCCATAACATGAATAGGAGCCTTTATCAACTCCAGCGCCAATTCAACCAACAAAGTTACACATATGCAACACGGACATATTATACTCAACATCAACCTGTACAAAACACATGCAAAAAATCAACAGTTCCACCTATCAAGTAAGAAAATCGATCCAATTGCCAATTTTAAAAAAAATAAATTAAATAAATGTATAAACATGAAGGGGCACATAGGCGGATTCACAATTTAAATACTCCCTTCGTTCATTTTTAGTGGTCCATTTTGAACTTTTCATGCCCCTTAAGAAATAATAATTATAGTATGTATTTGACCTTATAACCCCTCTCAATGATAGCATTTCAGAGAGTTTTGAAAAATAATTTCGGAAATGAGTAATTAACGATAATGATTAAACCAAGAAAAAAAATTATTTTTTCTCTTGATTTGCTAAAATGGCCAAGTAAAAGTGAAAATGCATTTTTAGTATGGTGGACAAGTAAAAGTGAACAAACGGAGTAAGATGTATTCAACCTTCAAGATTTTAATGATTTTTTCTATAAATACAGTCAGACCTCTCTATAACAACATCCCTATATAACAACACTTTGCTATAAAAGCCAAGCTTTTTCCGGAACCAATTTTTATGTTATGTTATAATATATGTTCTCTATAACTGCAATTCTCTATAACATCCAAAATATTCAGAACAAACTAGACTGTTATAGAGCGATTTGACTGTATATTTAAACTCTATATCAAAAATACTAAGTTTAGTTGAGCGGCATCCACCTAGAGGCACATTTAATAAATTCCCTTCCAAATAAAAGAGTAAAAAAAATAGGCAGCCCAGTACACGAAACATTCGGCGTAGAGTCAAGGAAGGATCGTATCCCAGGAGTTGTAATATAGGCTAATTACACGGTTCGAACCCGTAGCCTACAGATCACACTGTAATAAATTTTACTGTTGCTCTAAGGTTCCTTCGAATAAGAAAAAAAAGAGAAGAAATAGAACGAACCCGACGATCCAAATGATGACGCCGACGACAGAGACGATAAGAGAGAGGAGAGCAAAAGGAAGGCCTAGAAGAAAGGCCAACGGCCTGCAACCTTCTCCACAGCACATGATTTCTGCTGTAAGTTTAAGCAGAGATTACTGTTTGTATTTTGAAGAAGAGTTTCTCTGCTTAATTATAATGTTCACTATAAAAACCGTAAATTGCACGTAATAGATTCGGATTTATTATTTTTTTAGCAAAAAGACTGTTATTTTGCTTTATCCTTTACGTGAAACCGATGGTTATGATTTGTCTAAATTTAATAAGATTAGATTCAGTGCAAGGCAAAAAGTGAGAAATGTGTACCCCACGTTTCATCCAAAAGAACAACCAGCTTTAACGTAGTGGTCTTACACTTTTTTCTATTTTTTGGTTGAATAATGTGAAAAGTGGTTATTCGGTTCGGATAACATTTAATTTATATACTTTTTATTATATTTGTCCAATTAAAAATAACTACAACACGAATTGTGGAATTATAACCTGAAAAAGATAAAACGCACACAACCTTCTACAACATATTAAATTACAATAATTATGTAAAAATTCATTTACATGTGAGTGAACATAAGATAAATCTGAGGATACCATGTTTGTAGCTGATTTCATAACAAATCTGGAAAAAAAAAGAGGATATACTGCTGGGCAAAATTGCCAGGTAGAATGTGGAAATGACAGACCCTAATCAAATAAGAGGAAATAAGCAATAAGTTGTGAATTTTTTTTACTACCTATTGTTTTTTTTTTGTGAATTTTTATTGGGAAAAGGCTCTAATATACCCCTGTACTTTGAAAAATAGTACATTCCTCTCCCCGTTATACTATCAGACCATTTAAAGGCCTACCGTTAGGAAAGTGATTAAAAATACCCCTATTTATAACACCCGTCCAACAAGGCAATTAAAATGCCAACTGGAAAGCCACGGTGGACAGATCCGACCCGTAACCCGTTAATATAACCCATTACTTAAATACTTAGTGACCCGTTTTTAATAAAGAAAAGGCTCCTTTTTTCTTGTTAGCTGAGAGAACGAGTGTAAGAGGCGATTTAGGGTTCCTCCTGTATGCATCAATTTTCTTCCATATTTTCTGTAAAATCCTTCAAAGGTATAGTTCTATTAAATTTGGTTGTTGTTATTTCTCCTATTTCGCCTATTTTCTTTGTTTTTCCGATGTTAATCTTCTTTCTACTGAAGGTGATTTAGGGTTTCTGTTAACCTTTATAGTTTAGTGTTTGCATGTGTGTTTTCTCGGATGTAGTGATTCTCTATTATATGGATTTTGTATGGCAGTTTCTTTAGTGTAGGGTTTACATGTGGGACTGCATTTTATCTCTTTTTGGGGAAAGGGGGCTTTTGTTTCTGGCAAAGATGATTGTATATGGTCCCCAAGTGGCACATTTTTCTGTTGTTCCTTTATTGAATGCTGTAAATTTTTGTTGTTTCTTTACAATTTGTGGTCCACCAGTAGATTTGTTTAATAATATCGTGACTCATGTGCCTGCCCTTTAGTCCTTTATACTATTTTGTGTGATTCATATGTGACTGGCCTTTATTATATTCAATTTTTGTTATAAATTCTGCCATTTATTGGTTTGTACTATATTATATTCAATTATGTTAACCCATTTCTCCTATTTATTTTGTAGGTTAAGATGATTATTGTGGACTTGTTATTCAATTATGGAGGTGACTAGAAAATAATTCCAAAAGTATTATATACAAGAAAGTTGGTGCACACTTGGAAACAGTATGATTCTGACCTTCTGTCTTTCATAGATTTAGTAAATGAATATACTTCATCTACTATAGGGTATGTTGGTGTCCAACAATTGATAATTTGTGGTCCTTCTGGTAGATTTTATGAAGTAATAGGGGATGATGGTATTAGGACATTACAAAATATGGTTTCTGACCATTTCATTGTAATTAATGTATATGCTGTAGAGGATAGTGAAATGGGGGTTCTTGTTCCTATTATTGTCGACCATAATGAATCACAAACAGTAGATTGTGAGGTTGCAACTGATTGTAGTTCAAATGAGAGTGAATATGAGACTCTTCTTTCAAAATATGACTCTGATGATTTAGAAGTAATTGCACTACAAAAAAAAAGAGGGAGATTTCTGAAAAGTTGATTGAATACGAAGAGCTATACAAAGGAATGACATTCAAAGATATACCTGAGGCTAGAAAAGTGATAAATTTGTATTGCTTAGCCAACTGTTATGGTCTAAAACAACTCAAGAGTGATAGCATTAGACTGAGGTACAGGTGTGAGGTTGGTTGCCCCTTTGTATGTCTAATTTCTGAGGATAAGAATGGTGGTGGGATTAAGATCAAAACTCTTAAGTCAAAACACAAGTATAACCCTGCATATGACAATCCTAGGATAGACAAAAATACCATAGCAGAATATTTTAAGAACAAGCTGCAAGAGAATCCTATGATCAAAGTTAAGGAGATGAAAATAACCTTAAAAAATACTTTCAACATCAATGTTAGCCATGCAAAGTGTAAGAGGGCCAAGAGAATGATACTTGAATCCCTTGCTAGTAGTTTTACTAATGAGTATAATAAGATAGAGGCATATGCTAATGAATTGAGGTTGAGTAATCCAGGGAGTGATGTAATAGTTACCTTATCAAAGGATGCACTTGCTGAAGGAAAAAGAAGATTTTCTATGATGTATATCTGTTTTCATGCTCTAAAAATGGGGTTTAAGAGTGGGTTGAGGCCCTTCATTGGCTTGGATGGAACCTTCTTGAAAGGAAAGGCCAAAGGTCAGCTTTTAGTTGTTGTTGCTCTTGATTCAGTGAATCATTTTTATCCTATTGCTTGGGCTGTTGTGGATAAAGAAACAAAGGTCACCTGAACCTGGTTCTTGACATTGTTGAACAATTCATTAGACCTCAAGCTATGGGAAGGATACACATTCATGTCAGATATGCAGAAGGTACTTATTCTATTTTACTTCAATGTTATTCTTTTAAAATTATTGACTATTTCCTTTTTATTTTTAGATGTTTAATTTTCTGCATATTATATATGTAGGGCTTGATTGAGGCAGTTCAAGCAGTAGTTCCTAATGCACACCATAGATACTGTGTGAGGCACATAGAGGCTAACTGGTGTAGAAGATGGGGTGCTGGGAATTTGAAGAAAAAATACTTGTGGTGGTGTGCATGGAGTAGCTATGAAAAGACTTCAAGGATCATTTGAAAAACTTGGGAGAAATTGATGAAAAAGCTGTTGAAGACTTGTTGAGGTATCCTCCACAATCATGGTGTAGAGCATACTTTGATACAGTATGCAAGAACCAACAAGTGGACAATAACCTAACAGAATCCTTCAACTCATGGATACTAGATGCTAGGCATAAGCCAATTATCAGAATGCTTGAAGACATAAGAGTTAAGGTGATGAATATGTTGAGAGAGCATGAAGGTGAAGTGATGACTTGGACTGAAAATGTAAGTCCTCCTACCATGCAGTTATATTATCAATTCTTGAATAATGCACAAAAATGTACTGTTGATTCTAATGGAAAAGATGGTTATGAGGTGAATGAAGGAACTACTGAAAAGCATAGAGTGGACATCAACCTGAAAAAATGCACTTGCAGAACATGGGACCTTACTGGGATCCCATGTCCTCATGCAATCAGAGCATTACTGTACAAAAAAGTGAATCCTATGTCTGAGATTCATTGGTGGTTCACCAAGGAGGCTTATTTCTCCACTTATACACATAAGTTAGAACCAATTAGAGGAGAGAAGTTCTGGAATATAGAGCCAACTCATGCAATGGATCCACTCCTGCTAGTGAATATGGCTGGTAGGCCTAAAGTGAAGAGGACTAGAGAAAAGAATGAGACAATAAATAGGCAAGGGGAGTGGTCCCAATCCAGAAAAGGCAGGGTGATGACTTGTTCCACATGTGGAAAGCCTGAGCATAATGCTAGGGGATGTCAAAAGGTAATCTGACACCCTTACTATGTTACTTGTTAGCTGAATTAACATAGTGTCCTAATTATGTTACTTTATATCATTGACAGCAAAGCAAGGGAAAGTTGCCACAGTTTGGTAAGAAAACAAAAAAGAGGCCGATGACATTGGTTGATGAAGAACATGAGGAGAACATGGCTAGATCTCCATCTGCTGCAAGGCTGTCCTTAGAAGAGGAGCTGCAACTGACAGCACCACAAGCCAGTCAGGCCAGTCAAACGAGCAGCAATTCTGGACCTCATTACATATTTATGCCAACACCATCCCTTTCTAGGAAGCAATCCATCAGCAATGCAACAGATTTTGACTATCCAGAAGCAAACAATCCAGAACCACCTATAATGCCAAGGTGTGTGTCAGAGGCAAAGACTAGACTCCAAAGGAGGGAGCAACTAGGCACAACAACTGGAACAAGGACTATTAAATTTGTTGGTGATGCCAGTGGTGTGAGTTTGCCAACACAACTTCCTTACTCACCCAAAAATCTTACATGGAGAGGAAAAGCTTCCATAACAGGAAACCAATTAGAGAGGCAACGACCAGCCAAAATGAAGTCAAGAAAGGGAAATGGCAATGCACAGAACTAGTCAAGTTCTGGACATGTGATAGTTTTTTGTGTCTTGGATTGATGTAATTACTCCATGTGACAGTACTTTTAACTTAACTGTTAGGTCCTTTAACTTAAACTTTTCAATATGGATGTCATTTTATTACTTGGGTGGTATCAGTTTTTGGGGTTATAAAGTGACATCCCTTTTGGGTCCTTTCAACAGAATGATGTTGAATTATGTTGTCTATGAATGAAGTTATGTGACTGTTATGTTTATGTTGCTGAATGAAGTGAATGCTGAATTTTAATGAAGTGTTAGCTGAATTTGAATGAGTTATGCTGACTGTCCAGCTATGTATTTCATCATGTTGTGTTTGTCACAAAGGGATATACATTACAAAGGGAAATATATTAAAGATATGTTGTGTTTGTGATAAAGGGAATTATGATACAAGAAAGCTTTATACTTAAACAACAAAAATAACCAGTAAAACATAGTAGGAAACGTTAACAATACAAAGCAACTAAGTAGTAATGCAGCCTAATATTAGACACCCACAAGTTAGACACATACAAGTTAACTCCTAACTACAACTAACATTACAATGAACACATCTCCTAAGCCAATCATTTCTTCATTGAAGTAGCAACGAACCCCAAAAATAGTCCTAATATTATCAATAGAATGATCCACGTCTTTGATACTTTCTCTTCCAATATTGAAACTTCAATCACTTGAGAATGATTTTTAGCCTCCATAGCAGCTACTTCTTGCTTCAATTTCTCTATGTCCAACATAACAACATCCATTGACGACCCCAATTCTCTATTTGCATTCATATGATTAACTGGGAAAACTTCATCTTCCCACAAGAAAAACCGACATGAATAATCCTGTCAATAATAGTAAATTGCATTTAGACTAAAACACTTATAGTTTATACAATTGAAAAGCTTAATTTGTAGTTATACATTATACAACTGGAAAAAAGAAAAAACCAAACTTAGAAGATGAGACCAACAAACATTAGGCTTAGAGCATTTATAAAACTTCCTTCCAGGATTAGCAATAGTTTTCGAAGTTAAGTGGCTGGCTATCAAACCACAATGACACTTAATCTGAGAAGAGACGAGAGTAGATGAGCTTCCTTGAGACATTTCACATTCGAGGAAAGAAGGAGAGAAGATGAGCAGAAAATTTCTCTGATATGAACCCTAAAATTTTCGCAATGCATAGGTATTGGGAAGAAGAAGACATCTAATGGGTTATATTAACGGGTTACGGGTCGGATCTGTCCACCGTGGCTTTCCAGTTGGCATTTTAATTGCCTTGTTGGACAGGTGTTAAAATAGGGGTATTTTTAATCACTTTCCTAACGGTAGGCCTTTAAATGGCCTGATAGTATAACGGGGGAGAGGAATGTACTATTTTTCAAAGTACAAGGGTATATTAGAGCCTTTTTCCCAGTAGCATTAGTATTATTCTCGTATTTTCTTATTCTTAGAATTCTTTTACGGGTTTTTTTTCACTTTTAGCTCGCGACAGAAACTATTTACATACGGTAACTGAAAAAGTGTATAAAATTTGTATAATTTTTATAAATAACATACATAATGTATGTATGTACAAAAAATATATTTTTTTTTCGGCTATTGTTTTGAGAGCGGCTATACAATATCATTTTCCCTTCTTTTACTACATGTTGTTTCTTCACTTCAGTTACCATATTATCGTGTTGTTACTGCTCCCTTTCCCCATGGCTTCTCCACTACCATATTTCTTTTCATTATTGTTGTGATTATGCTTTCCTTGAGCCGAGAGTGTATCAGAAACAACCTCTCTACCTTCACAAGGTAGGAGTAAGATTTGTGTATACTCTAACCCTTCCCAGATCCCACTTGTGGGATTACGCTGTCACACTATGTTGTTGTTGTAAGCAATAAGTTGTGAACCAAGCCTGCAACTGCAAGTAATTTAAGGCAGAATGGAAAATATGATGATCAGTATCAAACATGTTCTAGAAATTAATAATATTGATACATAGAACATGTAAACAAATTATTCCCCAGAGATACATAAGATCTTAAGTTAACACTAAATCTCTATCTTTTTTGGTAATTTACAAACATAAAAATAACAGCCTTCCAAAAAAGATTTTAAAAATAAAAATAAAAAACTGTAATACCTATACTCCAATGCCAATTCTCCCTGAAAAGGAGGTGTGATCCAGTCTCGCCTTCCAGTACGGCTACCTTGTTATGACTTCACTTTCTTGCCAATAGAGCATGATTAGGAGCTGGAAGGTGAGAGAAATCATCAAAACGAGAAGAGCGCACTATTATGTGAGCGTTCGGGTCATGAGAAAACACCATTGCCAATCCAATATGATGCCAGGAATCCAGACATGACCGATAAAAACCTAGGCTTTTTTGTTTGAAGCTGATCATATGAATACTTGTAACTTATTATGGAAGTACTAGAGCAGAGGCGACTAGGTAGAGTTGTGAAAGCAAATTGTACTCAGGTTGTCGGTCAAAGATGGATACAGTCTACTTACAATTGACAGACCAGCTCTCTGAAATATTAGCTGGTCTGTTTACGAGTCAGTGTGGAGCGGGAGCTACTTCTGCAGCAAAACTAAACCTTCCACCCCATCGACTATACCTGTTGGTGAACCAACTGAACATTCACTTGAAATAGGATAATCATCAAAACCAAATGCAGCTTCATTGACTGAATGGACTTCAACTAGAATCAGTTCCTCCCTATAGGAATCACCGGGATGGACTGTTCAGACTCGAATTTTCTTTTTCCATAGAAATTATGCATTCCAATCTGTCATAAACCTGCATTGTTTTCCATATCCTCAAATTTCTCAGCTGATAAAAGAATGGAAGTTCGTCAAGGAAACTATAGCTTTTCTAAATACAGTTTTATTGAAATACCTGAGATAGCTTCTTTTTCTTATCTTCTACACTTGCTGAAGGATCATACCTAGGTACCAAAAATACAGAGTATTGTCAGATTTATCATACGAGAAGTCTGACCTATCAAACTGTCAACTTACCATTCCCGCGGAAAACCAGCTTCATCTCTAGCCAAATGGTTGAATGGTCCTTTTAACTCCACATTATATTCCTCTAATAAATCTGTCAAAAGACGAAATTGGTGAATTCACTGAAGAGGCAAGACAGTGCCTGCACCTTCAAAACACACACACACACACACAAAAATAAGTGGACCTCTGAAAGTTGTGCAGGGGGTGCGTCCCATTTGCTGACAAACCGAAATGAACCAGAAGACGCCCACAGCCACATGTGCAACTTCTTCATCAGCAATTCTAGCCACAATGTTGGAAGTCCTATGGTCTCCAAAGCCAATTAGCTTTTGCACCAGCCGAGGCCCAGCATCAAGACCTCTTGCTTCCTATAGAAAACAAGAACAACCATGAATTCAGATAGCATAGTCAAAAGGCACAACTCCTAATATGACAGAAAGAAACAAGCACCTCATAAAACCATATTCCCATCCACAACACCAAAATTTAAAGATCACACTAATTACAAACTTTCAGGCCAAAAGATTAGAGCCTATGTGCCCATTTTACTACGTGTCAACATCTTATTTAATGCACAAGCCAAACGAATTTCCATCTATATCAACATTTCTGATGCAATTAGAATTGTGCTAAAACACCTACAGGAAATTACTCTTAACAGTTTTCTCCAAAAGTAGAACCCAATCTGAGAAGTGAGGCTGGTCACTTCTTCAGTAAAAGTGCCTGGGCTTTGGCTATTTTGACGTTAAAATCTCTATAGGGGCCATCACATTCTTTTTTTAATTAATGGAACCAACTTTAATCGATTCACTTGGATAACTAAGCCTTGAAAGAAGAGTTAGGCGACATTGTTCTGACTCATTGATAGTAAGCATGAATGAGCCAGAATAGCTTTATCAACTCACAGCCCAACGAAAAGTAGTTTCGTGTGTACTATTCATTGAAAACATACTAAATGAAATTTTTTTTGGAGAAAGGAAAGAAAAGCAAAAACAATGTCCACCTACGTACTGTCAACATCTATAAGTTTTACTTTCAAACAGCGGATGAATCATGTTTGGAATTCATCTCGAGCATATGCTATTTGGCCCTCATAAACCAACCAAGCCACTCTTCAGGACAACAGGAAGTATGTCATGAGTCTTAAAGTGAGACTTCTACATTTTGTATTTCAAAACTTCTAGTGCTTTCTGTTGTGGAATAAGAAGCTGTCATATCTAACTAGTACATTTTAAGATCAAAATATACACCTAAATCTAATAAAAAGGGCACGTAAATCAAGAGACACACATACACAACCATGTTACCTTTTAGTCCAGCGTCATCATTCAGTAATGGCACATGCCGGTTGTCTCTAGTAACAAGTGCTTGACCCTGACCTTTACTTTACCAATTTAGCTACATATACCCTTGAAGATTCATATGCCGGCCCTAACAAGTTTCAGATTAACGCATAGCTGTTATTGTTGTACCACTGATTTTTCCAGAAGAGAGGAAATTCAAAAAGAAATAGAGATATAGCGATCCCGCAGGCTAAACTGTTGAAGAAGAAAGAGATCTTAATTAGAGGCAGAGTAGAAAATGATAGTGAGAACTTCATCCAGGAACTTGCCAAAATTCAATATTCGCACCTCTAGCGAAATCATTTAAATGAATTTTCTGATAAGAGAATCCAACATGACATACTTAAGACAACCTAAGAAAAGTCCGACACCATATTTATGATTGGCCACATTTACCATTTATTAAATTGATAACACCATTGCAGAGACTTGATCACAACACCTTTTAATGACAGAGTTTAGCCTCACCTAACTGCAGACTACGCAACAACTGCCATCGCTCAAGTGAATTTGATGGTGCAGCAGCGAAAACTGCTTGAGTAATTCTATCTTTAAGCAGTAGCAGAAAACTGCTACACAGGAAAGTATATTATTTTTCCTTTTCTCTTTCTGGAAGTAGTTGAAACTTTGATGAGTAATTCAATCTTCATACTTCTAAACTTCAAGTCAGGAGAACATACTCAGAATTCAGGATACCTCATAGCCAACAGTAAGACTACTGAAATTCAAATTTTTGTAAGAATAAATCTTCTAACATTTCCTACCACGTTAACTGCTGAATTTCCAACAGGATATGGTTATAATTGGTCTATGGAAAATATATTGATAGTTCATTCACTCGTCCATATTTCTTAGTATCTTTCCTCCACAAGTAAGTAACTACACTTAGAAGCTTTCTTAGTATATTAGAAACCAACCTCGTCTAACTACTATTACTTAATTGTCAATAGGCGATGCTTATCCGTTTCTAAAGTTGATTATTATTTATCCTTTTATCAATTTCTTCCCAATTTTAAACACACTTATTGGACTTCCCGGAGAAAGCATAATCACACAGCTTTAAAATAGATCCCCAAGCAATCAAAGACAAATAAGTGGAATGAGTTGAGCAATCGTCACTGCATAATATTCCAACAGTTCAAGCAATTGATTTATCGTTCATATCTTTTTCAAAAACAGTGGAGGACCTGAACAAGTGGGATTGCAGCGAGCCGTGCAGCAACATTATTTGAAGATTTCTCACATTCCCTCCAGAGCAAATTATGAGCAGGCATGTCACCGTAGCTGTTCAAGGAAGCAAAGAGATATAAACATCCATCTTATAAAATACAACACATTTCATACCCAAATTGAAGACATATTCACCTAAATCCAAGCTCAGATAATCTCTGTGAACACCAAGCAAAATGGCGACTCTCATCATCAGCCACATGTGCAAAATCAGCAAAGAACCCCTCACCTAAAATCTCACTGTATGGTGAGAAACGGACTACAGTATCCCATGCGAGGTCAACTGCATTTAACTCCACATGAGCAAGATTGTGAATCATATATGCATTGAGAGGTAAACCCGAGTGTTTAGGAGGTGGAATTTCTTTAGATGGAACCTGTATACAAGACTTAGAACACATAAGCTAAAGCTACAAAATCATTGGCAAGAGAATCAAAAGAAAGTAAAAACACCAGCATCTTAAGTTTTGACTGAACTACTTCAAATGAGGTTTGTAGGGCGATGTATCACGCACAGTTCTAGCACGAAGTAGCACTGAAATCCCTAGTCGTTTGTTGACAATATGTATGAACTTGGTAAGACTGTACACTTTTAAATTTCGAATCTATATATACATTACAAATGGAAGACTGTAGGTACACCGTACACGCACCCACTGCTAAGAAAATACATCCACCTATGTCTTTAAAGTGAAGACTAAAGTCAAATAATCAAATAATTCAACGTTAAACATCTGATGAAAACCATCAATAAAAGTAAAGTTCGTCACTTTGCCTTTACATCTCTTAAGAAAACAAATAGAACGAGCAAAGTTGGTACTCCCTCCATCTCAATTTATGCGATCCTCTTTCTTTTTAGTCTGTTTAAAAAATAATGACCCCTTTCTAAATTTGGAAACAAGTTAACTTAAACTTGTCATTCAGCATTCTGACCCAAAGCTTTTATAGATACAAAAATGTTATGACACCATTAATTTCAAAAGCTTTTATTTCTTTCTTTCTTGAACCACGTGTCCAATCAATAAGTTCACATAAATTGGAACGGAGATCCTAATCGAATTCCGTTAACTAAAGAACTTCAAATAATGGAAAATAAAATACCAATTCAGGTTTGGAAGGTCGAGCAGGGCGAGCCGGGGGTTGGAAAGTACCAACAGGAAGACCCTCTTCACGCCACCTACAATAAGCCAAATGGGAAAGCTTCGATTTCATTAAAGGATCACTGGTGCAAAGAACAGCAGCACCCATTTCAGCAAGAGACGAAGCCGAGTTAATTGATTCCCACAAAGTAGATTGTTTAGTTGAATTTGAGGGTACGATACTATTATCCGGGCCATTGGGTCCCCAGAAACGCTGATGGTTTAAAGAGCTGTGTCTCCAATTTTGCAAACCTGACCATTGGTTTGGTAATTCTGGGTAATGAATAGTTAAAGGAGAGGTAGAAATTGTGTTTTTCTGTGAGGAGCAGAGAGTGAATCTTAGTGGGGTGGAAAATATGGGTCTGAATTTGAAAGTAGATGCTGCCATTTTGGGATGAAATTTGCGGTTTATGTGAAGTCTGAAAGTGAAGAGGATTATAGGACTTGAGATTGAACCATGGCTCTGTTTCTTTCTTTCTTTCTTTTTTCTTTTTACCTATGGCTCTGTTTGCTCTCCAATTTAGGGTGTGCAAGGCGTGTTAATGGATATTCGAAAACCGACTAAATCGATCGAGTTGTACCGCACCGAATTGATTTTTAGGTTTCTTTTTAAGAAATTATAGATTTTTATATAAATCTATAATTGCACCGATAATTAGGATAGGTTTTTTATTTTATAAAAATAAACCGAAAAAATACTGAGCCGTACCGAATAAATTTTACATTAGAAAATATATTTATTTAGTAAGTTTAAAAGTAATAATGCATTAAATTTTCCTTGGGCCTTGGAATTATGAAAACTATTACAAGCCAACAAGTAATTAAACTCAAAATACTAATTCCTAAAACATATATTTCAAGTATCTTTATTAGCAAGACACAAAGTATTCTAGCGATTATGAGTAGCAAACTACAATGTATTAAATATGTTTCCTTTCATATAATTTGGATTTATCTTTTTGAATATTTAATTTTCTATAGATTTTATTCTTGAGTCCTAGCTTGGTATATCTTTCAACTCGTGTGATTTATATTTTCTTTGCCTTTGTTTGATTTCTTTTACACTGTTGTAGAATAGTTGATGGATCTATACTCTAACCATCACTTTTTTTTTTAATTCATCACCCTTTAAATAGTAAAAATGTCTAGAGAGTTTTGCTAAGTCCTATAAAAGAACGTATGTTATTGCATTTTACTTCTACTAGTGAATTTTACATGATATAAAAAAATCGAGAATTAGTCGAACCGTACCGATACCGAAGAGAAACCGACATGATTGGGACGGTTTAGAAAATTCTAATTTTAGTTATACATAATAGAATAACCGAAAAACTGGTATAGTACAAATTTTATAAAATAACCGGCCGAACTGAACCATTGACACCCCTAGTTTTGCTCCAATTGGAGTAAAATGTTTTCCTTATCAACATAACAGAAAATATTTTCCAAAANTAGAAATTATAAAGTTTACGGGTTCGAAATTCCGCGGTTTCGAAAGTTTAGCGGTTCGAAAGTTCATGAAATTTGTGAATTCGGAAGGTTGTTGGTTTGAAAGTTTATGACTTTATGTTTATTATATCTAAATTATTTATGAATACTCTTAAAAGTCATTTTCCTTAATTTGCGTACCAAACATCGGAAATGAATAAGATTACTACTTATTTTTCAAGAAAACATTTTCTTGGAAAATATTTTTCACGGAAAACATTTTCCATTACACCAAACACACCCTTAGAGTCGACTATATAAGAACAAGGAAGAAGTTGCCAGTTTCGCCAAACATCAAAAGTGTTTATTAAAAATGTAATTTTTTTTGGTAGAAAAACAGTTTGTGTTTGATTATTTATTTTGAAAAATACGTTCAAGTAGTAATTATTATTTCAGCAAGCTTTAAAAAGTATTTCTAAATATATATTTTCAGAAATATTTTTCAAAATACTTTTAGGGAGAAGCTATTTTTTTGCTCTCAAAAACTTGCTTTTGCTTTTTATTCTAATCGAAAAAAAATTCCTTCTAAAAACTTTATTTTTAGTACTAAAGATAGATATTATATATTAACTAAACATGCGTACAACAGGCTATAAGTTGAGGAGGAGTTTTGTTACCTATTTGTTAAGAATTTAGGTTATATAGGGAAGTAAATTTTACATCATTGTTGTTTAGTTATTATTTATTTTAGATTATATATCAATAATATTAGATAGATTTACTTGTAAAAACCTAAATTATTTATCAGTGTTATTAAATAGATTTACTTGTACTGACCTTTTAAATGATTTAATTGTACAAATATTTTTCTTTGTTAGTGCATTGTGATTATTATGAAAAATATGGAGAGAAAACATGGTCACTTCTAATAGTCTTTCAAGATTAGTAGGATTAAACATGGCCACTTCTAAGAGTCTTTCAAGATTAGTAGTAACTATTTGTTACTACTAACATTGACCTTTTCCATTAGAATTAACCTTTTTCCTGTTTGATTTATGGTTGGTGATTGAGGTTCGTTTGCATTTGAAGCTACTTTTAATGTCTAGATTTGTATATAAAGGATCAAGTTAAACTTACCCTAAAGACTTTGTTTTTTTGTTTTTTCCCTCGAAAATGTGTGAATTCTTAAAGTTGGTCAAGCAGAATTTTGTTAGAAATAAGGATATATATGTGATAAGAATAGTAATGACGGGTAATTTTATTCGCAAAGTATAATAGAGGTTAAATAAAGACAATATTTGAAGGTAGAAGGTAAATGTGACCCTTAAAAAGCCATTGCTGCACAATTTCGAACATAGTTCTTAAACATGTGCTTCTGCGACAAAAGCATTTCCAATTGTTTCACAAATTGCTCACAATTGTGCATGCAAACGACTAAGGCCAAATATAGAGCAAGAAAATATCAGGAGCAAAGATCTACATAACATAACCTAATATAAGCATAATTCCTCAATATAAAAATAGAAAATTAACAAAAAGAGAGTTGTTCACTCAAAAATATAAAAATTAGGAAAGGATAATAGTTAATTATCCTGATTGACTTATTACTACATTAACACGTAGGATATGTACAGAGCATCTTATTAATGCTACAAGTAGGACAGAGCTTTCTACCACATTCAAGTGATTTGAAAAATATGACTTCAAACTGCACAAATTAGAAATCCACAAGCGAATGTACATAAGCTACAAACTAGATGCTACTATCATACAAATTGGGACCAGCCAGCATATGCCATTACCACCAACAGCACCCTCTTGATTGAAGGACGACATCAGTATGCTCGTAGACCTTGAAATCTGGCACACACATCAGAGAGAAATATTAACAACTCGAGTTCATCAAAGCTGCACACAACTTATAGAAAAATATTGACAACTCGAGTTCATCAAATCTGCACACAACTTAGAAATATTAAGAATTAGTGTTACAATGGATGGGAAAGCAAGAATAAGATTAACTCAGCAAAAAAGAAAGCCAGCCACTCTAATTGTGGCAAACTTGGTATCAATCAACATGGAGCCAAATATATTGTCTAATTTGTATCTTGCATCACTCGCTCAGAAAATGTCAGTTGTAAGATTTTACCCTTCAAAATCCATGCCGCACCCATGTCGATCCGACACGATTTGGGTATGGGTGTGAGATCCACACTGGATTTGGTCAACTTATCTTGGGTGCTTTAGCTACATCTATGACCAAGTAGTATAGATTGCCTCCGTATTTGGTTTAATTTTTTGGTTTGTCATATATTCATATAACGTATTGAGAATGCTTGGCTCTACACGAGATATCTTAGGAATAAAATATTAGGTGTTTATAAAGAATTAGTTTTTGTTTGATAGCTTTACTTAATCAGAATATATACGTATATATGTCGTAAATATACAGTTGTTTGCCGTATTCCAACACTTGTATCCACACTCAGATCCATACCTTCGAATCCTAAAATTATGCGATGAAGAATCTGACATCTAGATCTGCCCGAGTCCGAGCAACGTAGATTCCATCTAATCTCACTTTAGCTTCATTCTTCATATGGGGTTAGAGTTAATACTTTAATGGATATACACTTTCTTCCTTCTATCCATCCTAAAACACTTATTATCTAGAGTGCCTTTCAATAGTTCAATCTTTTGATTGACTCCGTCGTTAGTTAGTTGATTAACATAATATAACCTGCAAATAGCATGCACATTAAAACTCATCGTGTATATGATTATTGATTTGTAAACTAAATTACAACTAATATAAACAAGTAGGAGCTCAAGAAAAATATCTAATGTAGGCTGACGTACACTGGAAGCTCCTTTATATATCCTCTAACTATTCTCACACTTGTGACCTACTTTCTTAGTTAGGTTCTATTATTCTAGAGATTAATAAGCGATTCATGTTTGATATCACTCAAAAAATTGAACATCTTAAACCTTCTCATCCTGCAAACATGGCGCTCCTTGATACATGTCCTTTATGGTGTTATATTTTAGTTGAACTTATTTAAACTTAAAAACCCAGATTAGGGCCAGTGTTGTGATAAAGCGCTGAAGCGACCGAGGCAGCCACTGTGTCGCTTTTGTACGGTGAAGCATAACAGGTAGGATGAAGAGTCCGCTTTTGCCAAAAAAGCGAGAAGCGCTAGCGAAGCGAGAAGTGACGGAAGTGCTTGCTTTTGTCTTTTAAGTCACTGATAAATAAAAAAGCTCAGTCTTCTTCTTCTTCTTCGCTGTCTTCATCGTCGACGAAGCCACTGTGTCGCTTTTGTAGGGTGAAGCATAACAGGTAGGTTGAAGAGTCCACTTTTGCCAAAAAAGCGAGAAGCGCTAGCGAAGCAAGAAGTGACGGAAGCGCTCGCTTTTGTCTTTTAAGTCACTGATAAATAAAAAAGCTCTGTTTTTTTTTTTAGAAAATCAGCGAGCAGCAGAGCAAGTAGCAGAGAGGGTTCCTCCTCCTCCTCATCCTTCTTAAAACAGCAGCGAAATGCTGCCAAATTTTTGTTCCCTCTTCAGTTCTTCTTTTTCTCATTCTCTTCTTCTTCTTCTTCTTCTTCTTCTTATTTTCATTTCAGTCCTTAAAATTGCAGCGAAATGCTGCCAATTTTTTGTTTCTTCAGTTCTTCATCTTTTGTTCTTAGCCTCACTGCCAATTTTTTAGTATTGGCAGTTACATGTGTAACATGTGATGTCTATGCAATATTTATTTTAATATATTTTTAAAAAAATTCCGCTTCATTTCAGAAAAGCGAGCGCTTCGCTTCACGCTTTAAGCGAAAAGGGGCTTGCCGCTTTTCCTCGCTTCATGCTCTTCACAACACTGATCAGGGCTTTTTTTTTTATGACCGAGAAATCCATTTGGGGCCGATCCTTTGGACCAACCGCAGCCTTCGAAACTCGGTGGATAATGGGCCCGCCCCTCTACCCTTCTCCACTTAAATACCAAGCTTTGCTTTGCATGGTGTGGGGGCTTGAACCTGTGACCTAAGACACAAATCCACCACCCTTTGCCACTTGAGCTAGGCCCTGGGGGCACACTGATCAGGGCTTTTCTTGACACTTTATTATGTACTTTTTCAATGTTCACGAATAACCCTTTGGAGATACTTTTTCCTCCCCTTTTAAATTCCCATCAATCGTTTTAGCAAAAAATATAGCTTTTGTTATAAACTTACTAGGTATAAAACCAAACTATGCCTTTGTCACCCTTGTAATCTCCTAAAAGACACTGTATCACTCTTCTAAAAAGTTTCATAGTATGACCTGTTCAGAAAAAAAGGTTTCATAGTATGATTATAAGTTTTACACCACAATTGTTTGCACAACTTTGATGTTCAGAAAAATACAAGACTATAGAGTTAAGCAGCAGTATTCTATGTTCGGCATTTTTTATGATAAGTGACTGGAAACCTAAAGGAACTTAAAAGTCCAAAGCATCATCTTTACTTATGTTATTGTTTAAGAACACCAGAGCCCAACCAATCACCACATTTTGAGTCATATTTGATACCTTGTGACCAAGTGACTGATACTTAACATTTTCTCCTCATATTACATTGCAATATTAGGCTGATCCACCATCAAAATGGTGGCACCCCATCTCTGGAGCTGAATGTAATGAGAATACCAGGATCCTTCAAGAGGAAGACATCAATAAGAAGGCTTTTGGGATTACATTTGTTCTGGTTTACTATTAAGAGTTGGTTCTCTATGTTCTATTCCTAGAAGGAGAAAGCATAACAATTGAAAGGGTGCAATCTCAGACCATCCTCTGATGGTCTTGATCACCAATCCACTATTCACTTCAAAGAGACGCCCTTCAAAATTGTCAAAGATATAGAAGCCACGTCACCTATCTAAAAGAAATTAATTTATGCAAAAAGGACAGGTGCATTGGTTAAAGGTAAAACTATCATCTGGATTATTCAAATTATTAATCAGTCAATAGAATCTCAAGAGTAAATATAAAAATAGATCCAAGGAAAGTTGGATTGCTGTTGTACTTAAGGGAGCAAGTCAAAAGATTTCAGATAGCATCGACGGAGGAAACAGAGTCCAGCATTTACCACAAGACTTTGAAAGAGAGAACATTATATCTGGACAACAGAATCAACTCTTTGGTGAATGCTCTGCATCAGATCCACCTCCTGAAGAGTTTTCGCTATCAGAATCTGCAATTAATGTGAAACAATAAGGGAAAATGAAGATTTAGACTAGAGAAAGATCCAATCATGACACCCCAAGAAAAAGGCAAATGAGAACAATAGTGAGAGAGAGATGAAAGAGAAAAATAATCACTACCACTTGATGATGACACTGAGTCAGTGCTAGAGCTGCTTGCTTGACTAACATCTTTGCCCTGATTTTCCATTTGAGCAGGATTGGAGGAAGTGCCTTTCTCTTCTACTAGCATATACAACAGAGTTAATAACTATTTCCAACGAGATTACTGGGTTTGGAAATTCTCACATTTTAAGAACTTACCTGCTTTGCTTTCTTTTGGGATTTCTACCACAACTGGGTTAGCATTCTGCAAAATAGCAAGAAAGCGAGCTAAAAATATGAAACAAAAGAAAATTACCCAAACAGACAAAAAAAAAAGAGAATCAAATTGGAAAAAATTAATGCTCAATATTTTACCTTCTCCTGGACATTCTTCTCAGCTTCACTTTCTCCTTGATCTGCAAGTCCAGCTTTTCTTTTGTTCTTGCTCAAGCTCTTCTTGTAATTAGTAACAAACCTGTCGAGCTCCCATAGGGTCTCAGTATCAACACTATCAATATCCACTTCAATCTCATCATCCTGTTGGCAAAGAGATGAATTCCTCTTTTTGATGATCTGTACTACCTGTTCAAGCTTTCCAGAAGGTAAATTCTGTAGGCTTGTGCTAAGCTTTTGCTTTTCATCATATGTCATCTCTCTTTTATTGGGATCCTTTGCTTTCGGCTTCTTTGGTACAGGGGTCCTTCCGGATTGGGGGAGAGCGACAGATTTAGTCTTCAAATCAAAGGGATTGGATGTTGATTCTGACCTGTCTAAAGTCCTCCTCACTCCAGGGGGTGGCAATGGTTGGGAAGGAGGCTTCTTAGATTTAGGAGTCTTCAAACTCGCCTGAGAGTCCATTGTCAATCTCAACTCGCGCATATAATCAGCCTCTATAGTGGCCCACTTTTCCTC